GGAGGGGGGTGGGGTGGAAGAGGGGGGGTGGGTGGTCGTTTTTTTTAACCTATTGACATTTTTTGTTCAAGATGTTCCTAAATATTGAAAATGTACAGTTCAATCTTATTTTATTATTTTTTTATTTTTTTTTTGCCACATGGTGTCTTAGATCTTCTGGAGAATGGCAAAGTCAAGGTCGACTGCTGTGACCAACAGGGACGTACAGCCCTCGAGATGGCCGTCACCGGAGATGACGTTGATGTCGTCTGCTACTTGTTGGAAAGATCGTCCGCTCGGCACATTCACAAGGTGCGTCCAAGCCAGTGTCAATGTCAGTGAGTTGACACGGTGTCAATGTCAGTGAGAGAACACGGTGTCAATGCCAGTGAGGTGGCACGGTGTCAATGTCAGTGAGAGAACACGGTGTCAATGTCAGTGAGAGAACACGGTGTCCCTGCTCCTAAAATTGCTTCAGTGACGACTCTACATGTAATAGTTTTAAATACACCCGTTGAATGGGTCATCAAACAAGTTTGAAAAAAATATTAAGTAGAAAAAAACAATCAAACTTCATAGTTTCATTGAATCATCGTTAAAGCCCTTCAGATACTGGGAAATGAAATCGTTTCCTTTGCTTTTGTTGTCAACCTAAGGCAATCTATCCTTGCAGGCCAAATTATCTAAATAGAAACTAAAGAAGAAGAAGAAGAAAAAAAAATACTTTTTTTTTAAACCGATCCTTGTTCGTCTCAAGTTATCCATTATTTTAAAATATTTTTTTTTAAATTAAGTAACTTAAATGAAACAAATTAATTAAAAAATTTAATTAATTTTAAAAAAAATAATTAAAAATAATAATAATAATAATAAAGTAAAAAAATAAGAAAATATCTTTAAAAGGCAAAAAGAGGTCGGGTGTTAATTCAAAGAGAAACAAACCCAGATCTTTGAGATTAGAAACAGAGAGCTTGCGTCAGAGACAAATTGGGTCAGGCCTTGAGCCGTAGGCAGGCACTGGAATCTGTTAACTCTTTATCTCTCTCTCTCTCTCTCCCTCCCTCTACCTCTCTCTTTCAACACACACATCTTTTAGCACCGTCTCAACCACAAAACATCATCTTCAACACCTCTCCACGTCCTGCTACTCCTCCAATAGCCCCCCCCCTCTTCCCTCCTAACACCATTTTCCGCAGGGATGCGCCGCTGATCACTATATTAGTTTGTCAATGTATTCCAGGAGGCCAACGTCATTGATCGTTGATCTGGAAACGTAAAGATTTCAATGACCACACATTTCTTTAATTTGTTTAATTTTAATTTTTTCCGGGGTGAATTCACGACGACTCCATGAGGCCAAGGCTTGATGACTCCGTGGCTCTACGACTCCATCACTCCACGACCCCATGACTCTATGACTCTACGACTCCCCCATCTTGGCTATTATTTACTCAGGTTTTAAATCATTACATGAATACGTCATCTCTTCCATACACCCCCACCCCGTTCTCTCCCCCCCCCTCCCAGGCCCTCTTGGCGGCAGCCGATAATGACATGGAGAGAATCTGCGAGCTGATCCTTGACCACCCTCTCTACAGGGAGAGTGTCAGGAGGGAGACGGAGAGGCAGGCTGCGGAGTTAGTGGGAGAGGAGGGAGTCGCCTTCCTGGAGGATGTCAACACAGAGTCGAAATTTTCTCACGCTAATCTCAGTAAATTATTGCTTGAGGTAATGTAAACAAATAGTTACTTGGGTGGGGGTAATGTTAACAAATAAGTAAGTGGATGGGGGTAATGTTAACAAATATTTACTTGGGTGGGGGTAATGTTACCAAATAAATAAGTGGATGGGGGTAATGTTAACAAATATTTACTTGGGTGGGGGTAATGTTAACAAAAAGGTAATGTAAACAAATAGTTACTTGGGTGGGGGTAATGTTAACAAATAAGTAAGTGGATGGGGGTAATGTTAACAAATATTTACTTGGGTGGGGGTAATGTTAACAAATAAATAAGTGGATGGGGGTAATGTTAACAAATATTTACTTGGGTGGGGGTAATGTTAACAAATAAATAAGTAGATGGGGGTAATGTTAACAAATAAATAAGTGGATGGGGGTAATGTTAACAAATATTTACTTGGGTGGGGTAATGTTAACAAATAGTTACTTGTGGGTAATGTTACCAAATAGTTACTTGGGGGTAATGTTAACAAATAGTTACTTGGGTGGGGTAATGTTAACAAATAGTTACTTTGGGGTGGTAATGTTAACAAATAGCTACTGGGCGGTGATGTTAATAAAATAGCTTCGAGATGTATTGTTAACAAATAGCCACTGGATGTGATGTTAACAATTAGTCACTGGGTGTAATGTTAACAAATAGTTACAGGATGTATTGTTTACAAATAGTAAATAGAGGCAATGTTACAAGATCAGTACTGGAGGTACAGTTAACAGGTAGTTACTGGAGGTAAATTTAACAAATGGTGGATGTAATGCGCATATCTCTTACTGGAGGTAACGATAACACATAGTTGCTGCGGGAAGTGTTAACTAACATATACTGGAAGTAATGTTAACAAATAGTTGATGTATTGTTTAGATCTCTTACTGAATGTAATGTTAACAAACTCTTACTGGAGATAGTGTTAACGCAATGTTACTGTGGTACTTTTAACATGTACACTTACATGAGTAATTGTAATAAATAGTTTCTGGAGGCAATGTTTAAAAAAAATTTACATGGAGTAATTTTAACATTACTAGAGGAAAATGTATAAATGTTTTATCGGAGGTAATGTAAACTGTTTGGTATCTTGGAAGATGTTTAAAAAAAATCGTTACTCTGGTTAGGATATTTTTTTAACTTAATTTTTTTTTTTTTTTTTTTTTTTTTTATTTATTTTTTTTTTTTTTTTTTTTTTTTTTTTTTTTTTTTTTTGAATTGAATTTTTTTTGTTTGTAAAACAAACATTAAAATATACTGTTGATAGTTTGGAGTTCAGGGTTCTCACATTCGGTAACGTAACGAGACCCACCACCACTTCAAGTAGTAGTGTTTTGTAAACGGCACTAGTGGGGAAATAGAGACAATGTATTTTACAATCTTAACTAAACCTGCATCCAAAAGGTAGGTAGTCAACAGTGTCATTACGTCAAAACAAGTAGTTAACTAACACAATACATGTTGTTGCTGTTGTTGTTTTCCCACATAAAGTGAATCGTTACCCCGCGTTATAAGGTGCCCAGAAATATGTATCAAGATGCTAATATACAAATGCATCTAATTTTGAAAGAGTGTACATCAATTAAAAACCCATTTATAAGTGGTATTTGGAGTCTAATGTTTTAACCGTGATTAATAAATATGTGTACTCTCTACTCCAAGACAGCTATATTTGACAGAATTCATTTGGAATCTTTTATAAATGTTCAGTTCAATGCGAACAAAACTACACACTGCTTAATTTCATATGTATAAGTTCTGTTGAGAGCGGCCAAGATTTTAAGTTCAGTGCTAGCAAAACCACCGGCTGTTTCCATATGGACAAGTTCTGTTAAGAGCGGCAAAGATTTTCAGTTCAGTGCTAACAAAATCCCCCCCCCCCTCTCCCGCTGTTTCCTTCCCATGGACAGGTTCTGTTGAGAGCGGCCAAGAGAAATAACTTCCAGATCGTCAAGAAGATCATGATGTGCGGTGTCTTCCTGGAGGAGCCCCACGACTACTTCTGCGCATGCACCGAGTGCACTGATGGGAGACGGGAGGACTTCAAGGTCGGACGATTAAGTTTTTGTGTGTGGTGAAACTGGAGACACAGGGAAGGGAGATGAGTCTGGGGCCGGGGGGAGGCGCTAGTTTGCATGGGAAGAATTCGATATCCTATGAGATCAAAAGTAATAATTATAAGTTTAGAAATAGATGCCCCCCCCCCTCAAAAACGTTTATGTGGCGAGGTCTCTCCAACAGGTGTACACGACACGGAGACTGGACACCTTCACAGCCCTGGCCAGTCCGGCATACATTGCCCTGACGGCAGAAGACCCCATTCTGTTCGCCTTTAATCTCAGCAGGAAATTTAGACGACTGGCTGAGATTGAGGGGGAGTACAAGGTGAGTTGAGGGGGAGTACAAGGTGAGTTGATGGGGAGTACAAGGTGAGTTGATGGGGAGTACAAGGTAAGAGGATGGGGAGTACAAGGTGAGTTGATGGGGAATGCAATGTGAGTTAAGGGGAGTACAGGGTGAGAGGATGGGGAGTACAAGGTGAGTTGATGGGGAATGCAAGGTGAGTTAAGGGGAGTACAAGGTGAGTTGATGGGGAATGCAAGGTGAGTTAAGGGGAGTACAAGGTGAGTTAAAGGGAGTACACGTTGAGTTGATCGAGAGTACAAGGTGAGTTAAAGGGAGTACACGTTGAGTTGATGGGGAGACAAGGTCAGTTGATGTAGAGCACAAGTGGAGTTGATGGAGAGCACAAGGTGAGTTCATGGGGAGTACAAGGTGAGTTGATGGGGAGTACAAGGTGAGTTGATCGAGAGTACAAGGTGAGTTAAAGGGGGTACACGTTGAGTTCATGGGGAGTACAAGGTCAGTTAAGGGGAGTAAACGGTGAGTTGATGGGGAGTACAAGGTGAGTTGATGTAGAGCACAAGGTGAGTTGATGGGGAGTACAAGGTGAGTTTATGGAGAGCACAAGGTGAGTTGATGGGGAGTACAAGGTGAGTTGATGGGGAGTACAAGGTGAGTTGATGGAGAGTACAAGGTGAGTTGATGGGGAGTACAAGGTGAGTTGATGGGGAGTACAAGGTGAGTTGATGGGGAGTACAAGGTGAGTTGATGGAGAGCACACGGTGAGTTGATAGGGAGTACAAGGTGAGTTGATGGAGAGCACAAGGTGAGTTGATGGGGAGTACAAGGTGAGTTGATGGGGAGTACAAGGTGAGTTGAGGGGAGTACAAGGTGAGTTGATGCGCAGTACAAGGTGAGTTGATGCGCAGTACAAGGTGAGTAAAGGGGGGTATAAGGTGAGTTGGTGGGGAGTACAAGTTGAGTTAATGTGTACAACGTGGGCTCTGTGACAAAGGATGTTCTCTCTTTCAAGGGGAGCTCCAAATATGAGGTCATTACTGAGGCAAAACTAATCTTAAGACAAATGATTATGTTTGAGCTGACATGTGGGGCAAATGTCTCGCGCTGGCAATGTAATTTAATCGCTAGGGGGTCTCTACGACAAAACAAAGACACGTGTTACTTGCCCCAATCCATTAGTGCTTATGTCAATATCTATCTCATGTTGTGTTCTGGCAATCAAAATAATATGAAATAGCGTGCCTGTTATTTTGACTCGCATCTTGCTGGTTAATTTTTGTTGGTGTTTTTTTGTTTGTTTTTTTTTCTTTTTTGTTTTGCGAAAAAGCGACGTTATGTCATGGTGACCAGTCGATACAGTTTTGGGTTTGAGGTTTCAATCGCATGGTCGTTGCGTGATGACGCAAGCCTTGTCCGACCATACTCTCTAGCAAAATGGCGATCAGCCCCTCAGAAGAAAAAAAATTGCGTCTTGATTCCTTGTTAGAGCAAGCTTGTGTTTCAAAGGGATTTCAAAGTTTCCTTCATTTGACTAGCAGGAACCCGTTTTTAAAGTATCCGAAGGATGCTGTAAACAAAAAATCTCATTGTCCTTTTTTTTTTTTTTGCTTGATTTCCCGACAGCAAATCTACCTGCAACTGGACACGCAGGTACAGAACTTCACGTTGGCGCTGCTGGACCAGTGTCAAAGTTCAGACGAGGTCAAGGCCATCCTGAGCGGCAAGTCCAGGCCCAGGGACTTCTACGACGATTCCGGCGGGGGAGGCGATCCGGCGGAGACGTCGGAAAACATGGACGGTCGAGGGGATATTCTGCCCCTGGTTTACACGGCGGTCAGGATGGAGCAGAAGAAGGTTGGTTCGGGGTCAAGGTCAATGTTGCACCGCGTTAAAAAAGGATGTTCAGCACTGAGACCTGTTAATTTTTTTTTTTTTTTAAAGTAAACTTTTAAACAAAAATAATTGTTGTTTTTTTTACAAGACAAGTTTAAATAAGCGCACTAAAAATAAAAAAATAATATAATCTTCTTAATATGCCTTAAAATTCAATACGCAAAGAAGCTCTAAGCAGACAGGTAGGAAGACAATCATAAATAATAATAACGTAACCAAATCTTTAGATGTCTCTCGTTATAACTACAGAGCCACTAATCCTCTGCAGAGCCACTAATCCTCTGTGGGAAAAAAAGTGGGTGGTGCATTAACACCATATAATAATTAATTACATTTAATTTATACATTTTACAAATGTATAAATATATATATATAAGTTTAAAATGTTCCGACATTTTTCTCATTGGTAAAACGTTTGCGTGATGTTTTTAAATTTTATTATTATTATTATTATTATTATTATTATTATTATTATTATTATTATTATTATTATTATTATTATTATTATTATTATTATTATTATTATTATTATTATTATTATTATTATTATTATTGTTATTACTTTTTTGCTTTTTAGTACCAGAAAAAAAAATACTGGGGAAGAGGGGGGGGGTCGAGAAAGGGCGCAAACCGTTTTCTATGCCAACACTCCCACTAATTGTACATAATAATTTAATCAGTTGTTTCACGTGTACACACCTGGTCGTTATCAAAACATTCGGCTGTAGTAGCATCATTACACTGCAGGTGGGTTTTTTTTTTGTTGGTTTTTTTTTTGTTGGTTTTTTTTTTGTTGTTGTTGTTGTTGTTGAATACTCATTAGGTCGGAGTGTTAAGTGACTTGCTGAGCACACGTCCCCAACCAAACGGTTGAATTAATGGGATGCTAATTTTTAGTGGGTTTTTTTTTTGTTGGTTTTTTTTTTGTTGGTTTTTTTTTTGTTGTTGTTGTTGTTGTTGAATACTCATGAGGTCGGAGTGTTAAGTGACTTGCTGAGCACACGTCCCCAACCAAACGGTTGAATTAATGGAATGCTAATTTTTTTTTTAACGCGGCTACCGCGTCTGCCCCGATGAGGTCTGCCAATATCTGTTTGAGATACCAACCGGTAGAGTGACCTTCCGTGAACCCAGCACAATGCCGGACAGGGTAATGGGATCCATGGATGGGATCCAAGGATGGGACCCAGTCTGTTGGGTTCGATACACGTGCCAAAAAAATTAAACGGAAAGACGAAAAAAAAAAAGGAAAAAAAGCCAGAAGCCATAAAAAACGCTGCTATAAAAATCAGTATGGAGGGGAGTCCCCCAGGGGGGCCATACCTTTCCCATAATGCATGAGCGGCATCCTGTCGAGTAGACCAGTGGGTAAATAGAGCGATCACGATCCAATATATGCCATTATACATAACTGTGCCCTCCTCCTCCTCTCGGTGCTTTATGATAATTGACTCCCCCCACCCTGTGGCGCCCCCCCCCCACACACACTCTCCCCACAACAACACACTTTATTATTATTATTTTGTGTCCACCTCACAGACATTCATCAAAGCATTTGCCAGTTAACCGCTAGATTTTCCCAGTAGAACAACATACAGACATTGAAAACGAATTCAAATTTATAACGGTTGCCAATAAACTTATAAATTACATGGCGAGATGAATAATAATCAGACCAAATATGTATGCAATTATTGTCCTCCAACATCTGAGTACAAAAAGCATAGCCCAAAAGTAGCATTAAATTCTATTTAATTCGCTGCCCTAAATAGATCTGACCCCAGCGAATTCTCTCCCCCCCCCACAACCCCACAAACACAATTTTGACCTTATCAATGCTTATGGGACCACACTGTCGCACTTTTATAACATACGTATGCGCTAATAGCAACGGGCCGGACAATGAAACCCGAAAGGCAAATGTGCGGGGGGGGGGCGGACATTTAAGTTAATTAGAATATATTAATGATAATGGGGGGCTCCGAGTTGTTATCAAGCAAATGCCGGGCAGAACATGTTCATATGCTGGCATTTCTAACACTCAATCAACAAGCGCGATGCATTTGAGCACGACTTGGGGGTGGGGGGGGAGGGGGCTGGGGTTAATGGGCGCGTATGAACGGGGTTGTACGCATGGGTCTTTGCTAAGCTAGGACGGCGCGTTATTCAGTTTCATTTTATTTTCACTTTGAAGACATGTCGTTTCTCATAAAACATTATGTCAGTTGTATTCAAACCTCTCACCACTGAGGAAAAGTCTTTAAAAAATTATTTATGCTAGATTTTTTGTTTCTTTTTGTTTATTCATGTGAGGCATTTTATTGTTCTGTTTTGGGATCTGTCAGTGGGATTTCAAAACGTCTTTTATTGCTTTATTTTTCTTTAAACACTAAACTGATATTCCATTCTCCCCTGCCGCCCCCCCCCCCCCCCCCCCCCCCTCCCTTCTCTTCCCCCCCCCCAGTGCCAGGCTCAGATCGGAGAGATGTGGTACAGCGGCGTGCCCTTCCTGAGGTACCTCAACAGGTTCACCTACCTCATGCTGGCAATACCGCTGGGCATCATCTGCTGCCCCATCCTCTCGTTTATTTATCTGGTCTCCCCGTGGGCCAAGGTGAGTAGAAGTTGATTGTTGGATTGGTCGGGTTGACTCTGTGGGAAGGTGAGTAGACGTTGATTGTTGGATTGGTGGGTTTGACTTTGTGGGAAAGTGAGTAGACGTTGATTGTTGGATTGGTGGGGTTGACTTTGTGGGAAGGTGAGTAGACGTTGATTGTTGGATTGGTGGGGTTGACTCTGTGGGAAGGTGAGTAGACGTTGATTGTTAGATTGGTGGGGTTGACTTTGTGGGAAGGTGAGTAGACGTTGATTGTTGGATTGGTGGGGTTGACTCTGTGGGAAGGTGAGTAGACGTTGATTGTTGGATTGGTGGGGTTGACTTTGTGGAAGGTGAGTAGACGTTGATTGTTGGATTGGTGGGGTTGACTTTGTGGGAAGGTGAGTAGACGTTGATTGTTGGATTGGTGGGGTTGACTTTGTGGGAAGGTGAGTAGACGGTTATTACAGGTTTGGTGGGGTTGACTCTGTGAGAAGGTGAGTAGACGGTGATTGTTGGATTGGTAGGGTTGACTATGTGGGCCAAGGTGAGTAGACAGTGATTGTTGCAGTGGTAGGGTTGACTCTTTGCGACAGTTCATTTTGAGAAAAATCACAAAACTGCCCCGATCTTTTTTTATCTACTTTTTAAGTCGCACACAATATTGTCTGTCATTTCATATTGACCTGATACATCTGATGACACATTCATTTTTCTAAATATCGACAACAGAAATGGGTCATGTTGGGTTCATTGATATAAAACGAATGCAGAGACAGTGAGGGCTTTTTGAAGGTTTAAGCTTCATGTGGATGTTGTTCATTTTGCAGGAGGCAAAAATCTTACTCAAATTTTACTTCTTGACTTGGCCAATAGAACTACACTGCACTTCACATTCTTCTTTACTCCACACGTAAACAGCATTTCACACGTACACTACACTCCACAAGTGCACTACACTTCACAAGTGCACTACACTTCACAAGTGCACTACACTCCACAAGTACACTGCACTCCACTCCACAAGTACACTGCACTCCACAAGTACACTGCACTCCACAAGTACACTGCACTCCACAAGTACACTGCACTCCACAAGTACACTGCACTCCACAAGTACACTACACTCCACAAGTACACTGCACTTTCCTGTGTAATTTACTTCGTAGCAGCACGTATTTAGTGTTACTGTAAATTTGGCCCTTGTATGACTTCATAACTAGTCTCTCACACAGACTCTTTAGAACATTGCCTGTATCCTTGTATTCCCTCTAAATCAACGTGTGTTCAAATCCCCCTCTCTAGGTGTCCCGCATTGTCAACACACCTCTGATGAAGTTCCTCTCGTACACCTGCTCGTACCTCACCTTCCTCATCCTCATCATTGTGGCCAAGCTCTACTTCCGCCACTACATAGACAGCTTCACCTGCGACTCACCTGAGACGTTCGCCTACGTCATCATGCTCATCATTTTCATGTGGATATCAGGTTGTGCCCCTAAAGCTATCTACTCTAAACCTATCTACTCTAAAGCTATATTCCCTAAAGCTATCTACCCTAAACCTATCTACCCTAAAGTTTTATTCCCTAAAGCTATCTACCCTAAAGCTATCTACTCTAAAGATATCTACCCTAAAGCTATCAACCCTAAAGTTATATTCCCTAAAGCTATCTACCCTAAAGCTATCTACCCTAAAGCTATCTACTCTAAAGCTATATTCCCTAAAGATATCTATCCTAACCCTATCTAACTTAACCCTATCTAACCTAACACTATCTTATCTTACCCTAAATGCCCTTACCTTATTTACCTTAACGCTATCGAACCTAGCCCTATCGACCCTAACCTTATCTACCCTAACGTTAACTACTCTAAATCTATCTAGCATAGCACTGCCTAACCTAACCCTATCTAACCTAACCTTACCTTCCCTAACCCCATCTAACCTAAGCCTATCTAACCTTACCCTATCTAGCCTAAGCCTATCTAACCTTACCCTATCTAACCTAACCCTACGTTATCTACCTTAACACTAACTGCTCTAACCCTATCTAACCTACCTAGTCTACCTAACACTACCTAACCTTACGTTGCCTCTATGTCCTATTATTACGATTGTCACTGAAAATCTTGTGTCAATATCTGCAACGCAACATAACCTGACAAAACGGATAAGAAGGCAATCAAAACGCTGTATATTCAAACTATAACCTATACTTGCAAAAGCAAATTATCATTAGCTATAAGTTGTTAAAAAATGACATGGGGGGTCTTTTCTTTGGTTAGATTTACAAACAGTTTATTTTTTTACCATTTGCACCCTAACCCTAACCCTAACCTTAACCTTAACCCTAACGGACCCTAAAGTTAAATAACTACATGTTTGATTCGGTGTAAACAAAAAACAAAAAAATTAACTCCTGCACTAAATTAAACATAGCTTTGAGTTACATTTTTAGGCCAGTAAAATGTGATTTTATTTAAAATGAACAAATTTTTTTTTAAACAAATCTATTCGAAATCCAGTTGTTGGTTTTTTTTTTTTTTTTGTTAATTTCTCAACCGTTTTGCTCCAAGGTCTGATTTTTGAAGAATGTAAACAAATCTTTTCCGCTGGTGCAAGAGATTACTTCGCCTCGTTTTGGAACATCATCGACAGCGCCATTTTTTTTTTTTTTTTTTTTTTTGTTAATTTCTCAACCGTTGTGCTCCAAGGTCTGATATTTGAAGAATGTAAACAAATCTTTTCCGCTGGTGCAAGAGATTACTTCGCCTCGTTTTGGAACATCATCGACAGCGCCATGCTGAGCCTTCTGCTGGCGTCTTTCGTGCTGGAACTTGTCACGCCGATGAGGCTGTATGAGGTAAGCTGATACCAACCTCAAAGATCCTGTCACGCCGATGAGGCTGTACAAGGTAAGCTGATACCAACCTCAAAGAACTTGTAAGCCGATAAAGTTGTACAAGGTAAGCTGATACATCCTCAAATATCCTGTCGCGCCGCTGAGGCTGTATGATGTGGGCTGAATCCAACCTCAAAGAACTCGTCACTTCAATGAGTTTGTATGAGTTAAGATTATACCATCCTCAAAGAACTCGTCACTCCAATGAGTTTGTATGAGTTAAGATTATACCATCCTCAAAGAACTCGTCACTCCAATGAGTTTGTATGAGTTAAGATTATACCATCCTCAAAGAACTCGTCCCGCCGATGAGGTTCTATATGATAACAAGATCCCTAACTCCCTATAACGTATCAATAACCCTCCAACACCATGAAAAAAAAGCCTTTCAATTATGACCTTGACCCCCACAGATCGCGTGGGACGAGAGTGAGCCAATGACATCCACTCTGACACCAACCCATATGCCGACGCTGTTCTACCAACCCGGAAACGACTCCAGCGTCCTTGACTTTCACATCCCGGCCCCGGCCGTCTCGGATCAGTCGCACACGTCATCCATCTGCGAGCAGACGAGGAGGGCGGCCGCCATCGCCAACGCTGATTTCTGTGAGGAGTTCTCCGGCAACCTGCAAGGTACGCGAGATCTCATTCAGCGTCGTATCCACTGGCTATTCGGTGTGTGGTTTAGGGGGGGGGGGGCTCTCAATGTTTCTCCTTTTACCCCTGCATAAAACTAAATCATATTTGAGTGGCTCCACTACTGGTTATAGAAAGGTTGTTGCCCGAGGGTAAATAGACGTCTGGAATATTTGGGGTTAGGGTTAGGGTTTAGGGTTAGGGTTNCCCGGCCCCGGCCGTCTCGGATCAGTCGCACACGTCATCCATCTGCGAGCAGACGAGGAGGGCGGCCGCCATCGCCAACGCTGATTTCTGTGAGGAGTTCTCCGGCAACCTGCAAGGTACGCGAGATCTCATTCAGCGTCGTATCCACTGGCTATTCGGTGTGTGGTTTAGGGGGGGGGGCTCTCAATGTTTCTCCTTTTACCGCTGCATAAAACTAAATCATATTTGAGTGGCTCCACTACTGGTTATAGAAAGGTTGTTTCACGAGGGTAAATAGACGTCTGGAATATTTTGGGTTATGGTTAGGGTTTAGGGTTAGAGTTAGGTTTAGCTTTAGGGTTAGGGTTTAGGGTTAGGGTTTAGGGTTAGGGTTTAGGGTTAGGGTTTAGGGTTAGGGTTTAGGGTTAGGGTTAGGTTAGGGTTACGGTAAGTGTTAGAGTTAGCGTAAGGGTTAGATTTAAGGTCAAAAATGGTCTGCCAATTCTTAAATTTTAAATTTTTTAAAATATCCTACAACAAAAAAAAAAAAACAGGGCGAATGAATTGTCTTGATCAGTGGTCCGGAACCTTTCTAATGCTGCGATCCTTTAATTCGATTCCTCCATCCAATAAAATTGTTTTCGTTGCCACTTTATAAATATGTGTTTAAGGGTCGTTGGACCATCGGTCGAGACTCACAGGTTGAGAACCACTGGTCTAAATGAACTACACCTAAAATATTGTTATTTAGACTTAATAAGGGAAAACAATCTATATTTTTATGAATAAAATCAAGAAAAAATAAATAATAAAATGATGAAAATGCCACCAAGAAAATGTGCGCAATGCAGAAAACGCGGGAAAAAACTTACTTAAGAATATGTGCGCAATGTTGCAAACTCTTAACTTCTCCTCCCCCCCCCCCCCAACCAGTCGTATGGGAACCATCCTGGGTACCTGATCCCGAACTGCTCTCCGACGTCTTGTTCAGTCTCGGGATGATCTTCAGTGTCAGCAGGTTCTCCTTCATCATGCCAGCCAACGAGGCACTGGGCACTATGCTGGTGTCTTTCAGGTACGTCGTTACAGCAGGTTCTCTTCATCATGCCAGCCAACGAGGCACTGGGCACCATGCTGGTGTCTTTCAGGTACGTCGTTGCAGCAGGTTCTCCTCCACCATGCCAGCCAACGAGGCACTGGGCACCATGCTGGTGTCTTTCAGGTACGTCGTTGCAGCAGATTCTCCTTCACCATGCCAGCCAACGAGGCACTGGGCACCATGCTGGTGTCTTTCAGGTACGTCGTTGCAGCAGGTTCTCCTTCACCATGCCAGCCAACGAGGCACTGGGCACCATGCTGGTGTCTTTCAGGTACGTCGTTGCAGAAGGTTCTCCGTCATCATGCCAGTCAACGAGGCACTGGGCACCATGCTGGTGTCTTTCAGGTACGGCGTTAGTTTCTCTTCAGTACTGTGTTGGTAACTGACAGACGGATCTCTTTCAACTGGAAACCGAAAAAAGCTCCAGAGTCAGACCAAAATATTTAATGGTGACGCATCCCATGTTGATATGGCTGCATTATGGCTGGAAATAGGTTTTAAGCAAACCAACACCCAGGAATATGCAATGTGTCTTAACTCGGGTTTTGTATCACTTGTAGGGGTTCTCTCTCTCTCTCTCTCTCTCTCTCTCTCTCTCTCTCTCTCTCTCTCTCTCCCTCTCTCTCTCTCTCTCTCTCTCTCTTAACGTGTTTCTTATAAGATGGGAAAAATAAGTTTGTGTAACACCCAGGAATATGCAATGTGTCTTATCTCGGGTTTTGTATCTCTTGTATGGGTTCTCTCTCTCTCTCTCTCTCTCTCTCTCTCTCTCTCTCTCTCTCTCTCTCCCTCTCGCTCTCTCTCTCTCTCTCTCTTAACGTGTTGCTTATAAGATGGGAAAACTAAGTTAGTGTTATTAAACTTGGGATTAAGGATATCTGTTCGACTCCAGCAGGAAAAAATCTATTTTCTTTGGATTTTTACGGCTAGTGTGCGTGGCATGTAGACTATGCACATGTTAAAATTATTATCTGTTTTTTTCTACTTATTATACCATAAAAACCGAGTATTTTCTTATATAGAAAGAGATGTAGTAATAACTTACCGGTTACTGTTCTAATGAACCATTCTCAAAATAATGAATCTATGATGATAAGATTCGTATACGCGACTGAAGAGATCCTCTATTTCAGACGCACTGTTGTGGACATCGCTAAAATCTTCGGGATGTTCGTCTTGGTCCTGATGGCGTTCACCTGTGGCATGGCGGCACTGTACTCACCCAGCAGATGTCAGAGCGAGCATTTCGACAGGTGGGTGTGCAGGTCGTAGCGCCATCTTTCTGGCATTCTAGTGACGAGGGCCAGGGTGTCGTATGATGGAGTCAAGTTTTCTCTCTTAAATGAACAAAATTTGTTTCATCTTAATTTCTTGTATGAACAAACTAATTTTTAGTACTTTTGTGCATCTCCCCAACCCTCACCTTCCCCCACTGCATCTCCCCACCCACTCTTCTCCACTTCACCTTCCCCATCTCCCTCCTTCCACCTCACCATTCCACCTCCCCCCATTCCACCTCCCCCCACTCCACCTCCCCCACCCCATCTCCCTCACCAACCAACCCACCAACATCTTCGCCCTTCTAACCCGTAGACCAAAGCATTGCTGATACTGACCACATGTCACCTTCCCCCAGTTTCACCACAACGCTGTCAACGTTGACCTGGAGCGTGTTCGGCCTGGGTGACGTCAGAGCACCAGAACTCAAAGACTCCGAGGTGAAGGTGTCGTCCCTCACCAACAACCCTGACAGGTAATCACCGAGGTTTTGCAATGACCAGAAAGGTCTGTCCGCGCCTGCATCATCACTCAGCATCCAATCTCTTCACTTTTATGTTATGACAATACACCGACTCTCAGATTCAGTTATAATGTAATGCTAAATTTTTTTTTTATGAAATCACACATTAGTTAATGGGGTTTGTTATTTAAAGGCGGAAATCTATTTATAAAACAACGGCGGGAGTGGGGTTGGGGGGGGGTGGGATTAAGTCTAGGCAATCTAAATTAAGATTTTAATAAAAAAACATTCTGGTATTTTGCTTGGCCAATTTCTCAACAGCTATTTGATACTTCTAAGTCAATGTCAGACAGCGTAGTGGGTCTTGGCCTAGACGAAAACGGGTTACAACTTTATTTTACGAGCGATTTTACAAACAAACTGTTAATGCTATCGATATCATTGGATATATATATATATATATATATATATATGTGCGGAAATACATTGTTAGACGCTATGTTTTACGAAAACATTGTCTAAAAATAGTAACATTGCGCCATGCGATGTGACGTGTTCCGGTCTTAGGAATGACAAACATCCTACTGGATAAAGCCATTGAACGTCGTTTTCTTTTTCACAGCCGAAATATTCCGGTGTGTTTTTGGGTTTTTCATTTTTTTAAATCCTTATTTCCCTTAGTTGACACATATCACTGATACCAAGAAATGCTGCCAGTCTCATCCAAATTGTCTCTCGTGCTAACCTTCCAGGTCCCTGGGGGCAGCTACTGTAGGCTTTTATCTGTACGGCATTTACGTGTTTTGCACCACGGTGGTGCTCCTCAACCTCCTGATCGCCGTCATGTCCAACACATTCCAGGAAGTGCAGGTGAGTACACCAGAAATAGAATTCCAGGAAGGGCAGGTTTATAAACCACGGGTGAGGAATGCTGAGCGAAAAACCACCAACTTGTTATTAATAAAACACACTGAAATAATTGCAGGCATTCGTAGATTGCTACCATGGCCCACAATTCGATTAATCTCTGTGAACATACAAGTTTATAGGTGAAGAGCTTCGTCCCCAAGGAAGGAGATCCTTCATGAGTTGTTCTTTTTTTTTTCCCTGAATCTAAAAATGATTACATGGTACATCATTTTTTTTAATGAATGTTACATTTTTATACATTTCATGTGTACTACAAGATATTTTGGACTTAATGCCATGCACTTTTATAACCTGTAGTTTTTTGCATACATATATACATATAATAATTTTTGCTTTGTTTTTTTTTAAATTATGTAAATGGTAATTTTCTTTGAAAATATTTTGTATTTACAATTTTAATTTCTGGTAATAATATTCTGGACGTAATCTGAAGTTTATTTTTTTTTTTAATGGTCGTTATAGCCAATACAGAAGTGATAATAATTTTTAGCCTTGCACTGTAGCTGCAGGCCTAGGCAACGAGACTGGCCACTAGATTGGAACAAGGCGCTCTGAATTTCCTTGTGTTGTTCCAGGACGAGAGAGACGTCGAGTGGAAGTTCGCCCGCACAGAGCTCTGGTTGGCGTTCATAGAACCAGGGACGCCGGTGCCGCCACCTTTTAACATCGTGCCCAGTCCGAGGCTCGCGTGGAAGCTGGTCATGTGGCTGTGCAGACGATCGAAGTTCAGACACCTGCTGGCGCACGAGGGCAAGAAAGTCCGTTATGTGGCCGTGCAGGTGAAGATCTCAGATCGGTGGTCAAGACCTTGGGGAGCATAAAGAGCAAGATTATCGTGTGTCATATGTCTTTTATAGAATCTAAAAACGAATAGGTCATATCTTCTCATAGGGATCTTTTGTGATTACTCTCAAACCAATGGGGATCCTAGTGCTAAGTCTCCAACCAATGTAGAGCTCTGTGCTTACTCTCAAACCAATGATTATCTTCTTGCTTACTCTCAAACTCATTGGGGGGGGGGGGGTCTCTTTGCTTACTCGCAAACCAAAGGGGATCTTTGTGCTAACTTTCAAACTATTGAAACTTTAGGTGGCAGGGGCGATAATTTAAGGAATATATGTGACATTTTGTTAAATCAGGCGAAATGCCAAACTGGATTGGATTCTTCCAAAAAATATGCAAAGATTATTTTTTTACCACCCAATGACTTTGAGGTGACTGCGTATAAAAATTTGAAATAGAGGCAGAGGTGAATAAAAAGAAGAAAAGTTAGGCTGAACTAGCAAAAGATAGCCCTGGGACAGTGACAGATAGAACGTTTAGACTCAATTAGGGAGTGAGAAATGCTAAGAACAAGAAGAAGATATATTCAAACTCATTGTTTGGAGGGACAAAAAAAAATATCCATTCAATTCAAGTCACTGCAAAATGTTCGAAGTATACATCTTTATTACACTTTGCATTCTTTGAGTTATAGAAAAGAAAGGCAAGAAAAGTGGCGAAGTCTGCTTGTGGGCTTCAAGGATTTCATTATCAGAAAACAATTACTTATTTTAGAAAACTGTAAAAACGTGACGTTTTTCGGTTGAGATTTTTTTAATTTGGACTTTTTTTTTTACCCCAACAAAAATTGATGTTCTATCCATCGGGGGGGGGGGGGCGTTTCTTGTGTCTGGCGCTACTCTAGTGTACTAATGATTCCTTTTTTTTTTTTAAAGACTTTTCACTCTTATAACTCTTTTATTTCGGTTATTAATATGCTTTACACTTTTTATTTAACCCCATTTATTACATCAAAAACCTGCATCTAGGAATGAATTATAATTGTATTTTAGCATGTATATTTTATTTGTTTATTTAATCATCTAATTTTAACTGAAACCATTTTATTTTCATTTCTTTCCCAAATCAACTTACCTCCCATGTTTGACTTGTATATGTTATATGACTATAATTTACCTCCACCCCCACCCCATGTTTGACTTGTATATGACTATAACTCCCCCTCCTGCATGTTCACCCACCCGGCAACCCCCTTCACTTTGCACTACCGGTACCATCATTAAGACGGGAAGCAACTTCGAGCTCCAGGACATGGAGGAAGCCAAGAGTGAGTCTTCCATCGAAGGTCGTCATACGAGGAACGTGAGTACATGTCACATTGGTCGTTTTGTTCATGTGATGCAGACAGCGGTCTTTTGGCTTGGTAATAGGTGGCAACATTCTTCCCTTAATATATAGAGTCTCCAAGGGTTGTTTGTTTTTTTTTTTTTAATCATGTCTAGAAAATGGAAAATATGTGGGTATCAGAAACTAAATGTTGGTATCAGAAACTAAATTTTTGTTTTCAGAAACTAAATTTTTGTTTTCAGAAACTAAATTTTGGGTATCAGAAACTAAATTTTGGGTATCAGAAACTACATTTTTGATATCAGAAACTAAATTTTTAGTATCAGAAACTTAATTTTTGCTATCAGAAACTAAATTTGAGCTTAAACAACTACAAAAAAAATCATTCTTTCCCTGATTAAATTTTCATGCTAAAAAAAAGATGGGCTTCTTTTAAATCACATAACAGACTGCCTAAAGTTACGTTCAAGAGTATGCAAGAGTTTGTCTGGATATACTAGCTCTATTGCATTATCCCCCACCCCCATACACCCCCACTTTTTTTCCAATACCACCTAAGGCGCTGAGCTTATCTTAACTTATCAACGCCCATTTATCATTTTTGTCCACCACCATTCCCCACCCCATTCCAAATCACCCCCCCCCCCAATTTTAGATCACCCCCCATTCCAAATCACCCCCCATTTCAAATCACCCCCATTGCAAATCACCCCCATCTGCTCAGTACATTNGGGGGGGGGGGGGGGCTTCGGATCACTGTTAAAATTAATTTTCTCAAATATCATATTGTTATTTATCAACTTAACTTGTCACTCTCCTTACCTTAAATGGGCGTAGTTTACTGTGATACAGTATTCACCCAACTTGGCAGATCAGTCTACGGTGACGCTCCTGGTAGTATGGTTTATGGATCCGCCTTTGTCTAATTCAAAATATTCAAATCTATATTATATGTACATTTTGCTTTATTTCAGAACTGAATTACCTGTTTAATTTACTCCTTAGATTTTTTTTTTTATTTGACCTTTGACATATTTTCTTATCTACTCTCTACTGCTAACCCCGTATGGCTTACACTACTTTGTTTCCATTGAGTTGGTTTTCTAAATGTATATAATTCTGTTTCGGACCTTAATATTTTAACACAAAATGGCTGCATATCGTGGATTAATGTACAGCAAGGTATGTGGAAGCTTGAATCGAAAGTCATAACAATAAAGGAAGAACTTTTCGGCTTAGAGACTTCCTCAGCAGACGGGACGCATGAAAAACAAGAAATAGAAACTAGTACGAAAAACGTAAGCGTTCGCCATTGTTATGACCGGAAGTTATTTCATTTATTTATTCTTCTTGTGGTATCCTTAATTCGTGGATAATATGTCAATCCACAATCCCTTATTTTTCGCCGCCAATTAACGCAGTATGTTTAAATCTCCGATTGCGTCCATCCACTGCGCTTACTTGGAATAGAAGTTATAGAGGAGTTTAGAATCCCATTTTGGGAGTGTAAAGTCAATGAAGGTGCTGGAGTTAAAGCAGATGATTTGTCTTGCAGGATGTCATGTGCCTTCTCGTGCGACGTTACGTCAGACAAGTCGAACGCGTGAAGATTGAAGGAGAGGATGGGGAGAAAAGTAAGTGTCCAGTTTGATCAGTTGTGTCCAGGTCATTTTAAGATGACATCGGAACCTCGTGCTAGTTGGCTTTTTCTCTTTTTTTTTCCTTTGAAATACTGTTTCTGATTGTTGGCAAATATCCTCAGTGTACTTCAAAATATGCTCGTCAGCTGATGTCCTTTCGGCGCCACTTTCCAGCTTATAACGTAGAATCTAAATGTGCTGTATCTGTATCTATAGCACGATGTGGTTTTTAAAAAAAAGTTGGATAAATAACAAAAAATTATAAAATAAATGGAATTTGAAAGTGAATATACAACTTCCCAAAATAACCAGTTTCAAATCCTTTAATAACTCTATAATCTAGAACATTGTAAATCCCTAGTCCACAATGTCTTCAGGACATAAATGAGCAGGGCAGAGTTAATCCCTAGTCCACAATGTCTTCAGGACATAAATGAGCAGGGCAGAGTTAATCCCTAGTCCACAATGTCTTCAGGACATAAATGAGCAGGGCAGAGTTAATCCCTAGTCCACAATGTCTTCAGGACATAAATGAGCAGGGCAGAGTTAATCCCTAGTCCACAATNTAACGAGGTTCTTCTCCGCTAGCGTCAAATTTTAACGAGGTTCTTCTCCGCTAGCGTCAAATTTTAACGAGGTTCTTCTCCGCTAGCGTCAAATTTTAACGAGGTTCTTCTCCGCTAGCGTCAAATTTTAACGAGGTTCTTCTCCGCTAGCGTCAAATTTTAACGAGGTTCTTCTCCGCTAGCGTCAAATTTTAACGAGGTTCTTCTCCGCTAGCGTCAAATTTTAACGAGGTTCTTCTCCGCTAGCGTCAAATTTTAACGAGGTTCTTCTCCGCTAGCGTCAAATTTTAACGAGGTTCTTCTCCGCTAGCGTCAAATTTTAACGAGGTTCTTCTCCGCTAGCGTCAAATTTTAACGAGGTTCTTCTCCGCTAGCGTCAAATTTTAACGAGGTTCTTCTCCGCTAGCGTCAAATTTTAACGAGGTTCTTCTCCGCTAGCGTCAAATTTTAACGAGGTTCTTCTCCGCTAGCGTCAAATTTTAACGAGGTTCTTCTCCGCTAGCGTCAAATTTTAACGAGGTTCTTCTCCGCTAGCGTCAAATTTTAACGAGGTTCTTCTCCGCTAGCGTCAAATTTTAACGAGGTTCTTCTCCGCTAGCGTCAAATTTTAACGAGGTTCTTCTCCGCTAGCGTCAAATTTTAACGAGGTTCTTCTCCGCTAGCGTCAAATTTTAACGAGGTTCTTCTCCGCTAGCGTCAAATTTTAACGAGGTTCTTCTCCGCTAGCGTCAAATTTTAACGAGGTTCTTCTCCGCTAGCGTCAAATTTTAACGAGGTTCTTCTCCGCTAGCGTCAAATTTTAACGAGGTTCTTCTCCGCTAGCGTCAAATTTTAACGAGGTTCTTCTCCGCTAGCGTCAAATTTTAACGAGGTTCTTCTCCGCTAGCGTCAAATTTTAACGAGGTTCTTCTCCGCTAGCGTCAAATTTTAACGAGGTTCTTCTCCACCAGCGTCCAGCGATGAAATGATGAGGCGGCAAATTGAGAGGTTGGGGGCAAAGGTCGAGAAGAGGCTCGACGACCTCCAGAGCAAGCTCAGTCGGATCGAGAGGGAGATGGACGTGGTCAAGGTGGACGGCAGCAAGACCCAGACCCTACAACAAGAGCATCTCAGCCGATTCGTGGAGTATTCGGAGAGGAAGACATCAGTGGTGAGTTGAGTTCAGGGGTGATCGCGGTTGGCCGGTGTATCTGTGCTACTTCTTTGGCAGAGATAGATTGTTCATATTTGAGCTACCTTTTGGCAGAGACAGTAGGTTCATCTATGTGCTACTTCTTTGGCAGAGATATAATGCTGATATTTTTGCCATATCGTTAGCAGAGATAGAATTACCTCAGATGAAGTGTTGCTGGTTGAGAGGCAGACCAGCCTAGCAGTACGATTAATTTCATCTATTCAATGGCTCTCTTATCCTTCCTCAGACTGACAAGTACGCACACTTCCTGGACGAGGCCAAGCTGCAGATTCTGTCTAGGATGGACTCGGAGAGAATACAGATGGAGAGGGTGCTGGAGCATCGGGTGGGGACCCTTGCCAGGAAGCTGGATGAGAGCACGCGCCTGCTGTCCCAGCAAGTGGACAAGCTGCAGGGTCTCAAAGGTCCAGGGTCGGCTCCTCAATCTCCATCAAGGATGAAATAGCTGAGGGTTGAGGGGCCTGTTGGCACGTGTGTTTGTGTGTTACGTCACGTGTGTTTGTGTGCCTCGTCACGTGTGTTTGTGTGGCGCGTCACGTGTGTTTGTGTGTCACGTAACGTGTGTTTGGGTGCCTCGTCACGTGTGTTTGTGTGTCACGTCACGTGTGTTTGGGTGCCTCGTCATGTGTGTTTGTGTGCCTCGTCACGTGTGTTTGGGTGCCTCGTCACGTGTGTTTGGGTGCCTCGTCACGAAAATCTGTGTGGGCGGCCATGTGTATAGAGGCGTATGAGTTAAATGTCCACTATACTTATATGGTATGAAAGGGCGCGATCAAATGAGGACCTTACAAGGTTGTTTTTTATCATTCATTAAACAAATGGAAGAGTTCCGAATGCTGCTTGCTGGGGAATGTCGTTCACTTAGCATCTCTTATATATATTTGCTTGTCGATTACATCGATTACATTCATAGCTATTAGATTAGACTACGCGGCCTGACTGGAATAAAGTCTACTTGGGGAGTAGTTGATGGCCGGTTGGGTTTAGCCGGGGGGGGGGTACATTGGGGGTTGGGGGGGGAGAGACTTCATGAGCTTCGGTCCAATAGTCTAATAATTTTTTCTCAAGTAGATTAGAGTAGATTTAAATTGTTTTAATCATAACTTTCAATTTCTGTATATATGACTTCCATCGCCAAATACAAAACCAAGCAAAAAAAACCCAATATATTTTAAACTTTTATGAAGGACAAAATTAGGCATTGGCATAATATCATTAGGACGGAGCGCGGATAAAAAAATGGATATTTATTTGTGTGTTTGTTTTCGATTAATTTTTTTAAAGGCTTTAATTTAAAATTAATTCAGCTTGACCTGTAGTATTGTTCAACGTCAAGGGAGATAATTCCACACAGTAGAGTGAACTATACGCTTGTTGTGTTCCTTGCATCAAACATTCTCCCGGCGAGCAAAGTTAAGGCCAGGGATTCTCATTTCAACAGCTTGATGGCTCAGACTTTCGGTGACCCTGCAAACTTTTCTCTTTATTTTTGTGCCCTTGCATTCAAAGTTGATTGTGGACAGTTTCCCCGTGACAACTTTTGGCCCCCTTAATATATCCGAGCCCCACCCCCCCTCCCGCAGACGCAGGAGGTGCAGGGCCCCCAGAAAATTCTTCCAGAGCCCCTAGCCCCCGACGACTCTGGCTTGACTTACCAATAAAGATACATTTTCTAAATAAAAAAATAAAGCTCTCTGAAGACAATTTTAACCAATTTTTTTGATGTCCTAATGAGGTTTGTTGACTCGCTTAGACCTCAAAGATTACAATATGACGTTGTCAAAGCGCAAAACTTCTCCACAGTTCCCCTCCCCAATTATAGGAAACTGCCAGTTCTCTCTTATTCAAAAAGATGTATCCCATGCCTTTAAAGAGCGAGAAATACCAAGTGCTATGACTTGATAATGGCTATGTCTCCAAAGTAATATTTTTTTTAATTGTCTTTACACAAAAACGGACCTCTGGTATTTCTCAATACAACCTAGGGTCAAAACAACCCGATGTCAAAACAACCCTATGTCAAAACAAAACGATGTCAAAAAAACTATGTCAAAACAACCCTATGTCAAAACAACCCTATGTCAAAACAACCCTATGTCAAAACAACCCTATGTCAAAACAACCCTATGTCAAAACAACCCTATGCCAAAACAAAACGATGTCAAAAAAACTATGTCAAAACAACCCTATGTCAAAACAACCCGATGTTAAAAAAACTATGTCAAAACAACCCTATGTCAAAACAACCCGATGTCAAAAAAACTATGTCAAAACGACCCTATGTCAAAACAACCCGATGTAAAAAAAAAACTATTTCAAAACAACACTATGTCAGAACGACACTATGTCGAATGTCTGTCCATAAAACGAGATTTTCAAATGCAACCAGCGGGTGCACCATAATATAGTGTTATGGTGTTGTCAAACAGAAAATCCCATAAGGTAGTCCAGGGGTCTGCAGCCTTCTTCCAATATTCTGCCAAACTGGGATGTCGACTTCATGCAGCAACAACCTTATAAGTCAACATTATCAGAAGAACTGTTGTCATTTGTTGGAGTCTTCCGATCGCCATTTTAAAATCTCGTGGCGTGCCAGGTCTTCCATAGCTTGCCGCAAGCTGCCAACCTCTGGTTTAAGAGTATGTGTTTGTGGTAGTGAGAGGCTGGGGTAACCGGATATGATGTCTAAGTGTTGTTGCACGAGTGTAGCACGCGTGAGTGTGGTGCGTGAGCGTGGCGCGTGTTCTCTTTGTTAATTTTAGCAAACTTTTTTTTATTTGACTCCTTGAAGTCTATCGTTTGTTTAATAATAACGCAACGCCGGGGGCAGCATCTTGTGTGATTTAATCCACACAACGTTCGCGAAGAGAAAATCTATTTAAACCATTACGACAATGTTTTCTCCACAAAACCGTTCTACGCTACAACTGTAAATCTTGACCCAATGGTTGTGCCAATACTCTCAAGTGAAACAGCTATACTTCATTCATTCGATTCATTCATTATTTTATCACTATATTTAACTCATTTCCTTAATTTATTATCTTATATTAATATCGTAACTAGCGTCCGAGTTCTGGAATCATGTATTTGAAGCTAAACGAGGACGGCAACTCACAAAATATCGCCAATAAATAATTACCACATCTGATGAACAGGCTGCTGGTGGCTTTAGTACGTCTAAAACCGGGAAAATAAAAGATTTATAAATTCAGTTGTACATGGGTTAAACCCCGATATTTGTAATTTTACACTTCCAACGCCCTTTTTACACCATCTGCTCTATTTTGAGTAAAGCGGTAGTTCAATCCAAATGTTCTCATGATTTTCATGTATGCATATAATTTGTCTTCAGAAGTCCTAGAGGCAGCTGTGATAAAAAAATTTTAATAGGAGCATTTGGCCGTGGATGAAATATGAACCTATGACCATGCGCTGCATCATCATCTTTGACAACTCTCTATGTTTTCATTTCTTTCACAACTGTGTGTGCGAGCCTCGGGTGCCATTTTCTAGGAATCGCCCCCCCCCCTTTTGGCTCCATTTCGACAGCTGTGAGCCGTTGTAATCATGGCGGCACATTCTGTGCGCATGTCCGTGTGGGAACACTTCATGGAACCGTTCATATCTTAATGTTTCTGTAAAGTGTTTCACATCCTAAACGTCTGCACGTGAACAGAACCATCAAAAACGTTGTTTGTTTGTTTTTTTTAACCTGTCAGTGACTGCAATTTATTCACACACCCCCCCCCCAAATTATCGCCCAAGCTCTCCGACAATTTTTGTTTATTTCACCTTTAGCTGTTTTGTGTGACATGATTATTTTTTTTAAGTGAAAATAAATCATCTCTATAAAAAAATTATTGTTGTTTTATTTTAGTCTCGAACTCATTTTTTTTTATTAATTCATTTTGTTGAAGTTGGTGAATATATAAAATTTTTTAAAAAAAGAAAAATACATCTTTTATTTATTTAAAGTTATGTCAAAAAACAAAAAACATAAATGATATGTTTACTCGATATGTCTTACCAGAATAAAACAAACATATTTTATTTGTAGATACAATTGTAAATTTCTATGTGCACGTTAACAGAGTAATGTATACAACAATTTATTTCAATAAGTTAGCATCACTTTAAATAATCATGAAGGCAACAAAAAAAACAAAAAATAACATACTCATAGGAATGTATCAACAATAACATATCGGATATTTCATTTGTCTATTTTAATATAAAATTAATTGTTGAGCCCACGGACTGAACACATTTGAAAAAACATTAGGAATGTATTATAAGTTAGGTCAAGGTTCAAGAATGATTTTCTTGCGATGGTGCCCACATCCACCGAAGGGACATAAGAATGAAATTCGGAAGTCAATCTAATTTTCTAAAACGACAAAATATAAAAATAGATTTCTCTAAGTTTTTTGTTTTTTAACTTTATTTCGTTAAGGGCGTTATTTTAATAATAAAACAAGAATAGTATCATACCATTCTTGTTTTATTCAATATATATATATATATATATATATATAAATATAACAATAGAATAAATATTCTATATATTTTATACTATTGCTATATTCTATATATATTGTTTTAAACATCGAATACCTTCGAAAGCCCGGTTAAAGGTGAGTTAACACTTTCCCCGGGCATGAAACTAAAAAGGTAGATCTGATTTAATCCACTCACCCGTTTACTCCAGACGCGGTCAACTACGATATTTCGAGCGACAGCACCTACCCACCTCCGTCGACCCATTATTTCCATTTTTCAGCCGTTCATCAGGCGAACACTGCACCAGAGCGTGTCAAAATGTGTCAACAACAAAAATTGCGCTCCACACACAAGATGAATATGAAAGTAGAGAGAAATTCTCCAAAAAAAATAGAACCAGCTCTAAAATCAGATATGTATATATATATATATATATATATATATGTATATATTAATTCATTTTTTTAGATATTGTGGGGTGGTTTTATAACAACGGCGGCACAAGGGCTGTCCTTTTTAAGGGATCGGAACTACAGCGTGACGTCATTGGCACGTGACAGCGCCAGCCAGGGGGGGACTGTTACATACAAAACAGTAAAATAATTTAAATTCTATTCCTTGCACCAAGCTATAACAAGAAGTCATACAGAAATACATGGATCCCCCGTGCAATTGCTGTTTGTTAATGCCACATGCTCAAAGTTTGTTAATGCTACAAGGTCAATGTTTGTTAATGCTACATGTTCAGATGGAACCGCGACAGAAAGAAAGTATAGCATCAAAAACAGATGATGTTCAGAAAAAGAAATGTGCTTCTATGTGCTATCACAACTTTCCCAAATAATAATTCCAATGTGACCCTAGGCGCGTCTAACGTCTGTAACTTTGTAGGATTAGGGGTCGTCCATTGAGTACGTCACACTCCGGATGGGGGGGGGGGGG